CTCTGTGATAAGTCATTAGGCTTGGTAGACAAAGGGAAGTGCTGGTGAGCTAAACAAACGTGTACCGCGTTACCAGAACTCAATAGAGACCAAAGCTCTCAGTGCAGCTTGTGTGGAACAAATTCACCTTGACAAAACGTCAACATTTAACACATTACCGTTGTGAATGTTTCAATTGTGTTATATTAAAATGTAAAAAAAAGATGCATGCCTAACTGTCCTGTTGTTCTATATGTAGCATCTAAATGTAACATGTGTACTTATATTTCACATGACTGCACTGTATCTCTCTATTATGCCCCAAAAAAATGTGAATACCAAAAAACATTTAAAAAAAATATTTTTCTATAAATAAAAATGTTAAGTTGGTTTGTAAATGCAATACATTAACCATTTATCATTACTGGGCAGAGACAGTGAAAAAACAATCAACTGTAAGGATATCTGTGCTAGCCAATTTCACAAGGACCAAACCATTTAATTGAAGTTAAATAACTAATTAAAACTATCGGTGCATGAACTCACATCCAAAATCCCAGTGGTTAGACGAACAATACAAAACAAAGAAAAAACTTCACTATACATCTAAACACAGTCTAGAATAAAGGCCTATACAGTTATTTGGTGAACCTGTAGCATTCGCTAACCCTACCTGGTTAACTAGCTTACAACAGACCCTCTGCACTCAGTACCCAACACCAATGTGTGCATGTCTGTGTTTAGGGAAACCGAAATGACATTCTCAGATTATCGGCCTCTAACGAGAGAAGGTGGCTTTCCATAAACAAACAGCCAGTAGAGACGACCCAAGAGAGAGAAGAGGACAACAACACAGGCACTCTATTTTGGCCTCAGACTTCACAGGGCAAAAGGTCAGAGCCAGGGAAAGGTCAGAGCCAGGGAAAGGCAGAGACAGGAGAAGGGAGAGACAGGGGAAGGCAGAGACAGGAGAAGGGAGAGACAGGGAAAGGCAGAGACAGGAGAAGGGAGAGACAGGAGAAGGGAGAGACAGGGAAAGGCAGAGACAGGAGAAGGGAGAGACAGGAGAAGGGAGAGACAGGAGAAGGCAGAGACAGGAGAAGGCAGAGACAGGAGAAGGCAGAGACAGGAGAAGGGAGAGACAGGGAAAGGCAGAGACAGGGAAAGAGTCTGAAATATATATTCAAAAGCTGACAGTGTGCACTTTAACTGCACACCTCTGGAATTACACACTCCTGCTCACATTCCTAGCTGTGCTGCGGACCACCAATCCATATAATACAGACTGGGACAACTCCCAGAACCGGATTAATTGTCCAAAGTCATTAATCTAAAATGGCTTCCTCGCTTCTCTTTGTCTCCCTTCGTCTGTATCGATCTAAAAGAGCGAGGCAAAAGCCAACCGTTGCCTCAGTGTGGTCAGACCAGTGCGGTGAGCGGACCGTCTTTAGAGGCCGCGCGGACACACCGTTTCAATAGGATGCGGCGCGTGAATACTCACAGTTCGTGATCGCGAGGTAGCGATGGGGGCAGATGGGGTCGCGGCCGGTTTAGGACATGGTCGACATAAGTGCTGCCCGGTGTCTGGCGGAGAGGAATAGGAGCGCATCCGGGCCTCGGGTCGTTCCGGCTCACTACGATAGGCCTCCAGCAGAAACGCTGATGGCTGCTTGGCAACCGGCGCCAGGGGAGTCGCGGGGGGCGAGGAGATCCCGGAGGCTAAGGAGAAACGCACAAGGTATACAACAGGTGGATTAGACCGTCAGCATGAAAAAGGGCTCGGGGCGTTTTCAGCTGTTATCGATGACTACGACCGAGGGCAACTGGCTAAGAACATTATGTGCAATTAAGCAAGAAGCCACACACTGTGTAGGGTGCTGTCTCAATTATCTCTCATCAAGGGTGAAGAATGAGATGGATGGACAGGGTGTAGTGCTAAAATGAGCTGGACCATCAGATAAACAGGTATTCAATCTGCTTGGTAGAGCAACAACGAGGGGAATCAATCTCTAGTGCAGCATTTCTCCACTGAGACCAGATATGATTTGAGTTTAATGTGTCCAGAGCTTGACTGGTGTGAAAGGAATGCATCTCCAGTGCCAACAAAGTGAACAGAGCATGCGGATTTGGTCAAATTCAGCAGGTTATAGATGAGTCAGAGGAGATCATATAATTCCTCATCAGCACTAATGGGCTTCAGAAGATAAATAAAGCTGCAAGGTTATTTCCCAGAACAACCCCAAAGGATCATTTACCGCTGTAGCAGGCATCTAAACAGGGCATTGAACACAGCCAAGGGATCACCTTTAAATTATGGGTTCAAATGGACCTACCTCTGCCGGAATATGTTCCCAAACATTTATAATTACAAAGCACTTATGTAAGGACAATCACAAATAGATCACGGGCACACAATTTAAATATCAACTGAAAAGACAAAGCCAGAGAGTGGGTACCGGCTGTTTACAAAGGCTTTATCTGCCTCATATCAGGCTACACTGCAGCTGTCACTCATTTGACCCTGATTCCCTGGGGGTAATTCGGCTCCAAAAAAAACAGGGTTTTTACCTGGTCTCGTCCGAAAAAAACAAATGCTCATTTTCCTTTTCGCTCGCATACACACACCTCCCTGGTCTGGCCTTTATTCTACATGCCCGAGGATTATGGGGAAAAGGCATAACTGTTATGGCACCTAGGTAGGTTAAACGATGCAAGAACTGATCTACGTCCACCTCCACAAAGCAAGGCACTGCCTAGGAAACAAAAACGTGTCCACAAGCTAAACTTCTCTATTGACACCTTTACCTATTTCCAAACAACTTAATTTTCTCTTCTTTAAATGTGCCAGGAACTTGCCTACATGCTCTTTTTTGTTGTGGTCAGAACCATATAGATACATACAAAGTGCCATACAACTGGAAGATACACATGTATCTATAGATACATACACCACAGGAGACAGGAGTACGGGAGACATGAGTACAGGAGACAGGAGTATGGAAGAAAAGGAGATAGGAGTATGGAAGAAAAGGAGACAGGAGTATGGAAGTAGAGGAGACAGGAGTATGGAAGAAAAGGAGACAGGAGTATGGAAGAAAAGGAGACAGGAGTATGGAAGTAGAAGAGACAGGAGTATGGAAGTAGAGGAGACAGGAGTATGGAAGTAGAGGAGACAGGAGTATAGAAGTAGAGGAGACAGGAGTATGGAAGAAAAGGAGACAGGAGTATGGAAGTAGAGGAGACAGGAGTATGGAAGTAGAAGAGACAGGAGTATGGAAGTAGAGGAGACAGGAGTATGGAAGAAAAGGAGACAGGAGTATGGAAGTAGAGGAGACAGGAGTATGGAAGTAAAGGTGACAGGAGTATGGAAGTAGAGGAGACAGGAGTATGGAAGTAAAGGAGACAGGAGTATGGAAGTAGAGGAGACAGGAGTATGGAAGAAAAGGAGACAGGAGTATGGAAGTAGAGGAGACAGGAGTATGGAAGTAGAGGAGACAGGAGTATGGAAGAAAAGGAGACAGGAGTATGGAAGTAGAGGAGACAGGAGTATGGAAGTAGAGGAGACAGGAGTACAGGCACGTGTTTTAAAGTACCTATTTACTAAATCTGTTTTTGTCTTACAAGAAAGGACCCTGTTACACATTTGCATTGTCTAAACATTAGACTGCCTTCCTGTACTAATGCTTAGTAAGCAGTATAGTCACTGTATAACCTAGTTAGTAATTCTGATCCTGTCCACTAGAGTAACCCACATACAGATGCAGATCACAGCCAGCTGACAAAATAAAGCAACTGTGTTTCCATACTAGAGTAATATGTTGTTTCGACCAGGGTGTAAGAAAAACAGACAGAAAAAGCACTGAACTCTTTTGTCAATTCAGTTAATATCAATGTTAAATTCCAAAACAGTTAAACCAGAAATATCCTAACGACTCAAATATTTAAAAAAAAACTAAGCTTTAATTGGATCACAAGGATCACAGGCTTTCATTGTGCCAAACATTAAAAAAAAACTTTCCATCGTTGCCCATGGGATGTCATGGTGTGACAAAACCATGGCAACAGAGTGTGAATGAGAAACAGAGAGAGAGAGAGAAACAGAGAGAGTGAGACAGAGAGAGAGAGAGAGACAGAGAGAGAGAGAGAGTGAGAGAGAGAGAGAAAGGAAAACAGAGAGAGAGAAACAGAGAGTGCTTGGGGAGTTTGAATCTGCGACAGTGTCAGGGTGCATTGGGCAAGAGACTCAGCGCATAATTGGGGTGTCCCAGCATGCATTGCATCATGGGCTGCGCTTGGTTAACAAAAACAGAACATAACAGAATGACATGACGGTTCTCTAGACTGTTGCACATACAAACAACCAATCACATAACATTTGAATTAACATTATTGAAATTGACTATGTAAAAGATATTCAACTTTGTTCAAGTTATTAAACTAATTCACACAACAAAACAAAAAAACATTAAATGGGTCCATAAAATATATTAATTTCATGGATTAACACCTACAAGCAAAGTATAGAATCTAAGAAGTGTTTAACGTCCTACCTAGATTTAGGTTATTGACTATTTGCTATTAACTGTTGGTCTAGTAGGTTACCTTAGAGATATATAAGTTTGTGTACAATTCTATTGAGTAGTTACACCATAGTAAACACAAAATATAGTATGTTTGCAAAGACACCATAAATACTAGTTAACAAGAGTATATACTAAACTATAAAGCTGTTGTTTTAAACCCCAGAATGCAGATTGGCTAAAAAGTGAGATTGTAAAGAACAGGTATGACAAAACATCTACTTTCAATGTGTTAAATACTACGGGAGTGGGTGTTTAAGAATAATTTTACACTTTAAGATGACATAGCATCGTTTTTACCTTAATCTATATTTTTTACAGTTACTTTTTATTCGATGAATAACAAGCCTTCTTGTTTAGTGCTGTATCACATACTTTAAAAATATATATATTTAACCAGGCAGGTCGATTGAGAACAACTTCTCATTTGCAACGGTGATCTGAAGAAGCTGGGGATTGAACCCAGGACATTATACATACAAAACATGAACTCTACCACTGAGCTTCCAACTCCTCCAATAGGAACCCAGGACATTATACATACAAAACATGAACTCTACCACTGAGCTTCCAACTCCTCATATAACTTTCAGATCTGTTCTTTTGATTTCCATTACCCAATAATTATTGTAGTTTTTGAAAAAATAAAACATAACAGATCAAACTTAACCTTACTCCAAAGAAACAAGTACTAAGTATGTCAACCTTTTATAATGCGTATAGGAGCCAGGTACTCAAACTCAAATGACAGCCAACAGTGCCACATACAGACACCAGACAACTACTGCAATCATTCATCTCAACCAAAACCCCAGAGCACCTGACTAAAGTGTGATTGTGTGTGTGCATGTGTGTGTGCAATGCATGTGTGTGCATGTGTGTGTGCGCGCGCGTGTGTGTATTACGATTACGTTAGTTAGTAGTGTAGGCCACCTCCAGCATCCACTCTAATAACTGACAGGTTGTGGGTACAGTGACAAGTTGATAGATGCTTTAAAGTGTCACCACACAGCTTAAAGTGCACAGCGAGGCAGACGTTAAGAGTTTCCGTACACCAGACGGTATCACATACCATAATCATGTCAAAAAAGACTGAAACACAATGGCACAACTAGTACTTGTCAAATGTGAAATGTAATATTATGCTCAAAATCTTATTAAAAATCCCTCATGAATATTCATTTGTGCTGTGTGCTGACTGACCTCAATTCCACTTCTAAATGCTTCTAAAAATGTGGTTCAGAAAAACACCCAGAGATTAAAATAGCAACTGTCTGTCTGGTCTAAATTTGACTGTAATTCTTAGATTCCCTTTCCCAGAAGTCTTCACATAATATCTGGCCTTTAAACTATAAAACATCTGTGCGATCTAATCCCTCCGACCGCACAGCCAGGATTCAGTGTGTAAAGAGGTCATCATTTTCCGGCCTGTGCAAAGATGTAACCAAGCTCAGTTCTGCTCGACAGGAGTCAGGACGACAGACATTGTGAAGCAATCTGCTCCACAGACGGCATGGTCCATAATGCCGGCATTACCGTGAGTCCAAGTCTGTCCAAAACCAGCTGGGCTGGCAGGGTTCAAATCTGGGACTGTACAACAGCTTGTGCAGTTGCAACTGCTGTATGTTTTGTCGGCAACAAATAGCGAATCCATTTATTTCGCCTGTTTTTAAATATTCGTAGAACAAGATGCTCCAAAAATGAACGATGCATTTCACGTCCATAGATCAGCCTAGGTTTAATTTGACATAGTTTCACTTTTATCAGAAAAAACTCTGTGGCTTTTCATTCAACTCTCTGGTGACATTGAATCATCCAAAGATTTTAAAACCTGCTGACAAAGAGTATCAAGTCACAAAGCTGCAACCTGAAAAGACGGTGCACGTTAGATCTGTAGAAGCAAACTGGCACGCTGTCTCTAGATAAACTGTCCGATGACACAATGTTTGGTACTAATGTAATGCGCGCTATTGAAACAAATCTACGATCAATGTCGGTACGGGCACAATGGATGTCCGCACAAATGATGGCGCCTTACTGTTTGCCAAGAGGCCATGGGGCTCAGATTGCCTCCTCCCCGTCCCTCTGACTGGCTCCTGCTTCTTCCTGCTCACTCGCAGGCTCCCAAGTCGCTTCATGGGGCAGAGGGGGACACGAGGAACATGTCCGCCAAGATGGGAAACGATCCGATTAAATTGAGCCTGTGCAAAGGCCTGACTTGAGTGTCAACGCTCGTCGTAATGCAGAAAATGCGCTCGTTCAGAAAGACAACCTGGTCGCAGTTCAGACCAACTGCTTGTCATTTGAGCTGTGCCAAAACGGTCCGACGACAGACAGTGAGCAATGACGGTCGATTCACACAGAGGATCCCTATGTTTCTCTCCAGTCTAGACAGTGACAAGCCTGTAGATGTCAACCAAGCAGAATCACAGCAGAGAAAGGCACCCAGGAGCCCAACTGACAGGCGGGGAGACAGCCCAGCTGAACGCCTCACTGCCCTAAGGAGAGAAGGTCTCTCATTTGAACCTTTTTTTAGCTCTGTAATTCCACTTCAACGTACTTCACAAGAGGAATAGTTTGATCCTCTCCCTGCAGCTCCCTCTGGTTTCATCTCCTCTCTCTCATTCTACCTCTCTCGCTTTCGCTCTACCTCTCTCGCTTTCGCTCTCTCTCTCTCTACCGCTCTCTCTCGCTCTACCGCTCTCTCTCGCTCTACCTCTCTCTCTCTCTCTACCGCTCTCTCTCGCCCTACCTCGCTCTACCGCTCTCTCTCGCTCTACCGCTCTCTCTCGCTCTCTCTCGCTCTACCTCTCTCTCTACCTCTCTCTCTCGCTCTACCCCTCTCTCTCGCTCTACCTCTCTCTACCGCTCTCTCGCCCTACCTCTCTCTACCGCTCTCTCTCGCCCTACCTCTCTCTACCGCTCTCTCTCGCCCTACCTCTCTCGCTCCACCTCTCTCCGTCTCGGTCCACTTCGCTCTACATTAATCTGATCCTCTGGGTCCAGTAACAAAGCAGCTCTGTAGGCCTTTACATATATTGTCTTGTGCAGTTGTGTTGGTGTGTAATGCCCTCTAATAAAGGCTGCCTCCTAGAGGCTCGAAAAACACTCGCTCTCACCTTGTGTGTCACTCTCTCGCACACACACACACACACACGTACACACACACATGGATGCACACACAGATGAACTAAGCTGCTTCCCACCAATGCCCGGTAACGTACAGTTGGTGTTAAAGTTAGAATTGAGCGATAGCCTAAGAACTACCTGGGTTTGTTTGTCCGTTTGTTTGTACGTGTATCCTTGGTAAATTATCATTTGTTTTCCTGTCTTCTGAAAGGCAAAGATTTGACAGGAAAACAAATCCTGCACATCTGAGAACAGTTCTCTTCTCAGCTTGTGACACGGCAAAGAATGTCTGAGGAAAGCATATGTTGGTATGTGTGTAGGGCGAAGTATTTTTGAATGGTGTGATATCAGTGAGTCCATGCTAGACATATGAAGTGACACGCGTGAGAGGGAAATAGGTTCGGTAGGCGCAGCAGCTATCTTCAGGGGCAGTGGCTCAGTGGGTTGAGTCGGTTGTCTATCAATCGGAAGGTTGGTGGTTCGATCCCCGGTTCCTCCTGGGAAGTTGTCAAGGTGTCCATGAGCAAGACACCTAACCCCAGCAGCTCCTGACGATCTTGCAGTCGCCTTGCATGGTAGACGCGGTCGTCAGTGAATGAATGGGTGAATATGACGCAGGATCTGTAAAGCGCTTTGGATAAAAGCGCTATATAAAAGCACAGCATTTACCATTTATAAAACTCGGCAGGAGTAGACACAGTTGCCTAATGAAGTCAGAGAATTAACAAGGGACAACTCAGGCGTCCGCACCAATCACACTATAATTCCACCAAGCTCTATATTACTACCTGGGAGTCTGTAATTCAAAGACAAAGGAACTAGGAATAATCTACTATGAACAAACATGAGTGCGGTTTGAGTTCAGGGTATATGCAGGAGTTAATTTCAATACCTTTAAAAACTAAAAAGCATTAATATCCAACCCTTTACTGAAAAACAGAACTGACAATGTGTGTGCAATTCACAGTGCAAAAAATGTTCAGAAAGTGCACAAACAGCTTTGCTCCTTGCCATGGGCGGACTTACCCATTAGGCAAAGTAGGCAACCGCTTGGGGGCCCCCAGCTGCCAGGGGCCCCTTGAAAGACAACATAGAACATTTTATATGATTAAAAAAAATTGTAATATTTAATACAAATGGATTATAAATCATAACCACCCTGAAAAGTATCATTAAAAATAATAATAGAGCGTTTATTCTATTTGTGTAAACGCAGGCTCCCCCTCCAACTCCTTGCTACTTTGGACTATTCCAATGCTGCAACTCCACTGCGCAGCTGCGAGCAAAGAACGTCTATCAGTAGGTTAATGTGTTAGAGAAGTTAAGAGGGAATACGAAATAGTAATCATCAAAATGAAGCGAAATTATCTGAGCGGAGCACAAAAGAGGAAGAAAAAAGAAGAGAGTAAAAAAGTTTTTTCCACACTAAAACTCCAGAAGGTAACGTCCTTTTTCTCTCAACCGGTAACATCAAGTGATGCGGGCAGCTAGCACAAGTGCTGTCAGCATGTGTGACACACCTGTAGCATCTCCCCACCCGGTCACATATGAACAACGTCAGGAAGATAGTAATGTTGAAACGGCACAACTCACTAATGAAAGTGATAGAGATATTGAAACTGTCTTTCTCCCACTGCCTGAAAATGACAATGCAAGTGATGATCTCTCCCGTCAACATGTCTTAATGACTACACTAGATGATGACCCAGCGCTCTGGCCAAAACCTCTGTCAGATAGAGAGCGCTGCTCACTAGTAAGGAAAGGGCCAATTCAAATTAAGGACGAAATCTTCCCAAAAAATAATGAAGGACGCAGATTTACAGTTAACAACTACTCAATTCACATGAAAAACGGAGACAAAATAATTATAACATGGCTGGTGTATAGTAACAGTAAAGATTGTGTAGTGTGCTTTTGTTGCCGCCTTTTTGGAAACAGGAAAGATAAGCCGTTAAGTGGAGAAGGTTTTAATAACTAGAAAAATCTTTCATTCATGTTAAGCAACACGAAAGATCAAATGAACACACCGTAAACATGAGTAGTTGGCACAATTTATTGGAGCGGCTTAACACAAATACAACAATTGACAAAATCAACCAGGAGTCAATGTTTCTTGAAGTAAACCATTGGAAGGAGGTTTTACGCAGATTAATTGCTATTGTCAGCCAATTCCTTGGGCAAATTGAATTGATGGCTCAGTTTGACCCAGTTATGCAGGAACATCTGAGGAGAATTCAGGCAAAAGAATTGAGTGATACCTACCTCAGCAAGCACATTCAAAATGAGCTTATAACACTTTTGGCCAAAAACACAATTGATGCCATCGTAGAGAGAGTAAAAAGCGCACAATATTACTCTGTTATCATGGACTGCACTCCAGATCTGAGT